TCTTGTTTGTTTTTGTAAACCTGCTTTTAGAACGGTGATGGACACCGACCTGCCCGCGTGCAAAGCTCTTTCAAGTTTTGTATAAATTTAGTACAGAAACCACCGTTTTAGAAGAAACGGCATGATTTTGAATATAAGAACCCTTGATAAGGGATTGGCTATATAAAAGCATAGTTAAGCCTTTTATTGTTTATGAAACGTCACCTAGCGAATCCAAATGTCTACATTAGGGTGGTCCTTAAATGTAGGAAGCAAATTTTTACATCAGATTTCCCTAGTCTTAACCCCTACGCCGATGCTACTATAGTCGAGTATAACACATATAAATTTTTGTTCCGATTGGAGACGGTTAAGGTGTGTCGCACTGGGGGCAAAGTTCAGATTATCCTATGAAGACGTCTTAACCAACTCTTATAGGGACCAAAATTTATTTTTGACAACCTCGACTTTCGCAGTATCGATTTTGGGTATTAAATGAAAAAACAAAAAATGTTTTTAATGTTTTGAGCCATCAGACCCCTTTAAGTATTAGATGAAAAAAAAATTTATTTTAGTTTTTTGAATCTCTATAAAGGAAACTCCTTAACCTTCTCCAATTGGCACCAAAATTTATATGTAATATCTTCGACTATGGCATTACCAATTGAGGAGGGGTAAGACTGAATAGACTTGTTCATTTGATTTTGCAGATTACTCTAATCTACATACTCATAAATCATAGTTATATGCGAGTTTACGCAACAAGCTATCAAAATTTCATCGAATTTGGCGAACCATTTAGGAATGAACTTTTCTGAACGGATTGATATATCTTTCATAGGTTGGGCAATTATTTATCGGTAAAAAGCTGTATCGACTATATCAACATTTCATTGACCGGTCAGTGTTTCCGTCAAAGTCGTTAGTTTGGTTTAGAGACACCCTCATCGATCTACGTTCTTCGTTCACTCTGCGTGTGTTTATGTAAGTATATAACTACAACTGCTGCCCAGAATATGAGTTTCTAGGGGTAAGTTCTAAAGTCCACATGTGGACTGCATAATTTGAGCTGGTAAGACTTAAGGCTTAGTAAATATTTCCCCTCATTCGAGCTCCCGGAAATTGTGCAAAGTCTACAGCTATCTTTCGATAGCGTGTTTACCAAATTTAGAAACGCTGGTGTCCAGAAAGTTTCGATGTTCAGCGTGACAAAAAAAGCATTGTAAGGGAATACATCAGAAAGGTAAGAAACCATAGCGGGGGATTATTAGAAGCACGTACTTTCACACGGTAGGATTCAGCTTCGACTCGTGATCAGGGAAATCCATACACAGGCAATGCGAACATTCGAGTGTAATTCTAATAAAAACGATAATTTTTATGTAGAAGAAACTGAAGCATCAAATTGTGTTCAGCTCTCTCTAAATTCTTGTTTTCCAATCAATATTTTTTTTTTTTATCGAGCGATAAGCACATTGGCTAATCAAAAGCTTAGTAGAGGGATTCACCAAACCTTGCCAAACCCCGTGCACGGCCTACGGAAGGCACAACTTTCGCTGAGGAAAACCGGTTTTTACAAGCAATCAAGAGTTTTGCAAGACTTAGTGAATTCCCCTAATGTGTGATAGTGACTTAGAGCAAACATCCGTATTGGGCAAGTGCTACTCAACCTGGCTCATCACGTTGCATTAAACTAAAGAATGTTGTCTGGAAGATAAAAGTATTGAACTAAATGAACATCAACTTCGATTCAGAGGAATGGAAGAACTACTTACTGATATTTTGGATTTATAAATGCCTATCCAGTTTTTTCTAAAAATATTTCCCCAAGAATTATTCCTGAACTTCGCTGAGCAGACCAATACTGGCATTAAAGATAAGAACCCAACATGAATTTGCGTGTGTCCGAAATCGACATCCAGCAATTTATTGAAATAACGTATACCAGAGCTTCTTAAAGTGTGTTCCGCGGAACCCAAGGGTTCCCTAGAAAAGTCACCGGGGTTCCGCGAAATTATTTATGGTATGAATAAGCACGCCGGTCGGTTTGGGTTGCACACAGAAAGAAAAGTTCTATAAACAGTTTGACCGAGAGGCAATTATCTATTTTCAAGTATACACATGTATGTACTCGTAGATGGTATGATTGCCGTACTGAGTGCCATACTTACATAAGAGGGTTGAGCTTGCGCTTGTCAGCTTGTTTTTTTTTTTCTAAGCGGTATGTGTTGTTGGCCGCTGTAGCCAAAGGGTTATATGCAACTTTCTACAGAAACTAGAGCTGCAAAACTATCGATGGCACTATATATGGCACTATATAGTATAGTATCGATAGTTTCAATTTGACACCACTAGCGATTAATGGTAGCCAACTACCGCGATACTATCGGAAACCTTCAAATACAAATAATTGCCAAAATCAACAGTGAGACCTAGCTACTTCAAACTACAAAAATGCATACTCAAAAATTTTCTAAGAAAGCTAATTAAAAAGCTCGAAATTTTTAATATTCGAAAAACTCGAATTTGCCTCGATTTTGTAAATTGTTTAAAATTTAGACTTGCAACGTGTTGTTTTTGTTGCTTAAAATAACTTATTTGTTAATTTTAATAAAGCACACCAAAATGGTGTTTAAAACTAACATTTCTGTTTTTTCAATATAAATAGTGCCGTAGTAAGGATCCCATATTTTTTTTTCTTACCGATAGTATCGAAAATATCGAATGGTCCAACCACCGATAGTTTTGCAGCTCTACAAGGAATGCGATGAATTGCCAAATGAAATGTGAAATGTCATTATTGGGCACTTGGTAAATCACCTGAAATATTTGTCAGATTATTTTTCGGATGGTAGTAGTAATATAGGTTTGGTGAAAAATACAGACTTTTGAATCTGTGTCTCTGAAAGAGTTTTGTGTTAGTGTTAAGAGTAAATATCATCAAGTCACTAAAAAGGCCACATTAACTTTGCTTCCTTCTGTCACAACGTAATTCAGGTCGAAATTAGATGCTACCACAGAAATGCGCATACAGCTTTCAGACGTTATAACAAACTACTATTTTATACAATAATTAATAACAGCGAAACAATTTGATTCTTTACATTAAAATTTAAAGTATGTTTACTATTTCTAGTAAAAGTTTATATTCATATTTAAATTGCACTGCCTTTGATTTTTTGTTATTTGATGTGGGGTTCCATAAAATGAAAATTGTTTAGTAAGGGTTCCATCTTATTAAAAGTTTAAGAACCCCTGACGTATACAATGTCTTTGGTACATCCACCAAGAGTGCAGAAACATTGGAATTATGGAATCGGAACATCTTTCATAANATTAAAAGTTTAAGAACCCCTGACGTATACAATGTCTTTGGTACATCCACCAAGAGTGCAGAAACATTGGAATTATGGAATCGGAACATCTTTCATAAAGCAAACGATGCCATTCAATTACAATTCCAAATGCTTCCTCGCGAACATCCCAACGCGGATAGGGATAAGATTCGACCAATACTGATAAATTTTAACGAAACGTGTATGCAATTTCCCCTAAAGAGCCAGCTTTGTGTGGATGAGGAAATTTGCTCAACGAAAGCAAGGAATAACTTGAACAGGTATAATCCCAAAAAGCCGGAAAAAATTTAGATATAAAATATTTTTACTTTGCGACACTAGCGGTTTCGCGTACAGTTTTGAAGTAGAATCTGGAGCTGAAAATATTATTGAGCCTGGCATGCCAGATTTGGGTACTGCCTGAGACGTTGTAATGAAACTGGCCAGATATATTCCGACGAATCAAAACTATAGGCTTTGTTTTTCCGAACTTGTTTACATCGTTGTCACTGATAGAATATTTGGGTATGGAAGGGATCCTCAGCTTAAGGACAATACTACGAAATAGAATACCTGACTGCAATTTTCCGACAGATAAAGATATTTCTAAAAAGTGTCGTGGGCACTGCAGCGAATATGTTGCATATGTGGGAGGAATAGATGTAGCTACCGTTATTTGGATGGACAACAAATCTGTTACTCTAGCAACTAATTTTGCTCGGGAGCTACCGAAATCGGAAGTAAAAAAAATATATTAACATTGAAGAACCTTACATAGTGAGCGAGTATAATCGTCACATGAGTAGGGTGGATCTCATCGATAGCATCATGGGCCGTTATAAAAGATTGTTGAAAAGTAGAGGATGGCAAGTTCGCAAGTTTTACCACTTCTTAGGTCTTGCTAGGCTAAGACAAAGTCGGAAACTGGTCAGTTTGTGCCTAGAAGAGAATCCGTTGCAAACACCCAGGATGCAGTGGAGTGTCACAAGCGGTATGTGAAAAATGTGGTGTAGCTTTATGCTACAAGTATTCTCATTTCTTAAAGAACCTAACGGGTTACTCATTATGTCTATTAGCAAGCCTTTTCTTAACCTTACCGAGCATTTTGTAACCGACAAATTGAAAAATTCTTTTAACAAAATCAGAAAGAGCAATTATAGCTACCGGTTGAAGAAAAGTGTTAAGCCATAACTGCCAAAAAAAAAAGTAAGCGTTTTTTTTTCTTTTCGATACAGAAATGCATCCAGATGCTCTTACAACACTTCTGCTTAAAAAAAAAAAACTTTTTTAAAAATGTGGCTAAATTTTTTTGCCTTAGCGCTCGATGTAGTTCAATAAAAATCGGGAAATGTGATAAAAAAAAAACTTAATGCTTGGATCTTGGTTATTTCATCATTTTAAAATATTTTCACCATTTTTTTCGTAATGAATGTTTAAAATGCCTCGTTGCTGTTTCATTAAAAATGTGTGAAAGCTTCTATTATTTTAAGCAAAGTTCGAAAATTTTCGTTTATTTGTAAATTAAGAACGAAATTATTTTCTCCCACAAATTCATTTTGGCTATTTCGAGACATAATAATAAACGTTATTTAATAGAAAAACACTACTTAATGAAGGTAGCACACTATATTTGATAACATCATAGCAAAGCGAAAAAATGTACAGATATATATCTCCACCACTTACCTTGAACATTAGTGGATTGCGATCAATTTCAGCTTCGGCGCTCTCACAAAGTGATTCTGATTCGGAGAGAAAAGCGAGAAACTGCAGAAAGATATCAGAAATAATCGTTAGCAATTAAAATAATGAAAATATGTATACGGAGCACATACTTGATCCATAGCACGATCGAACGACTGAAGACTATGTACTGCGGCATGAAGCTGCTTGCCGCGATTGATGACGCCATTATTTAAATTTGAATAGCTGAAAAGGAAAAGTTTGTTTAATAAATACATATTAACTTATTCATATCACTGGTTAAGTAAAAGTTAACTTTTTGCGGCTCAAAAGTCACAAACTACAGACTTCCTAATCTCTAAAAGCTGTCAACTCAGAAGAAATAGTAGAACTGTTTCTGGTCTTATTCTGTAGAGAATACCTAATTCTTTTAAACTAAAATACGGTTTCTATTCGGTATTTACCCGGACAGTCATAAAAGTAACCGACCTGACTTATAAATACTCATTAATGGAGATCTCCCTAAGATTTTGGATGGAAAAACTCTCGTGTGTGTCATGCCTTTTCTCGTGCCAATGCTGGACACTCGTAAAGACAGTATAGGACCGTTTACTTAATTTACTCAGGATTACAGCTACGGCACCGAGGATTGTACGGAAGGCCCACTTTAGCTACATGTTTGCCAATCGGCCAATGTCCCATTATCGTGGCAGTTAATTTGGGTATACGTTTCCTCGACCTCTTTAAAAGTGCTTCTATCTTTGGCTTGTCATAATGCGGCCATATATTTCTAAGTTTGAAGGTCGGTCCAACGTTGCAGGTTTGAAGGTTGGTCCAACATGTATTAGCCATATGTGCGAATTGCAAATGATGTTCCCTTTTAATGAGTTCGAGTGAAAAGATTATTGTCTCTGCTTGGGATTCATCAAAGGATGCTCTGGCCTTAGGCCCACTCATTTCAGTGCATGTTCATTCCTATGGCGGGGAACTCGGATTAGAGAGATGCTAATTAACTCGTCGGTCGAGCTTAACGCGCATTTGCTTTGACTGTTTTAGATTTTGTTACCGATGAGGCAAGTGCCAGAAGTGCCGCTCGGAAATCTGAGAAAATTTATGCTTTTCGTACTTCTATGCAGCTCCCCTCTAATGCTTTACAGGTCCTTCCGCTTGGAACATTCTAGAAAACCCCCACCCACATCGCAGTCCCTTTTGCACCCGTCAGTATAGATTTCAGTGGAATTCTCCTCGCCTATCTGACTACTGTGATCGATAATACCATCTCTCAACAACCTAAACGCATCCAAAGTGAACGCTCTTAGTGAATCTGTGAACATGCAAAAATCGGTCATCATTATGCGATACAATACCGAAACTGAAAAGTATCAGTCCATCCGCCGCCGCGGCCGTGCCGTGTTGTGTTCTATCCTGGTTATATTTTGGGTAGCTAAGATTAAGATTAAGCGTGCTCGTACGAACTGCCAGAATAAACACCGCATTTGGCGACTAGGTGAAGTCACTACCCCAGAAAAATGCATTCAAAGGGCATTTCAAAAAGAGCTCGGATAGAAAAATTGGGCATAAAAATCTCTCACAAGATGTGTACCGCACTCACAAGACAGTAATATATCGAGCTACAAGGATGGTGAAAAATAGACCCCATTTGCGAAAGTATTTTATTGTTTTCCTTGTCATGTTACATACATATGTACATTAGAGTGCTTCACCCTTTATAGAAACAAACATTTTAAGACCATCGCCTTAATATTTCGTAAAAATATTAAGATTTACATATGTCGTCTGCGCCTATTTGAAAAAATCACATGATTTTGATTCTATTGACGAAATTTTCAAACATTCTTATGCATCTATCATCTGAGGCGATTTTTTGGGAAACATACTTTTAAAAAGTAATTTTATTTGTAAAAATTCTATTTTGGGACTTCTTTTCAAATTGATTAAACTCACTTTCGTCTTAATATTGTTCCGAAATATTTCGGTGAATTTTTTTAAATATATGTAATGCATTTTATAATTCCAACCCCCAAAATGTTTCCAAAAGCTTCCCCAAAAACACCGAAAAGTCGTAAAAAATTCATAAAAGTTCCGAAAGATACCACTTAATGAAATACGAAGTACCTACTATTGGGAAAGTTGCTTAAAAATTCCAAAAAATTGCAAAAAGAAGCAAACAAATCCGGAAGTATAAATCACGACGAGTTTCGGTAATGCCCTCAAAAACGCTAAAAATTCCGAAAACTTTTCCAAATCCCTGGGAATTCGTGAAAGGTCCCGAAAAAATTCTGAAAGACCGCAGATTTTTTAAAATACCTGAAAACATCGCAAAGGTTGCCTGACATCCCGGCGAAATAAAATACGCAGAATCCCGAGAAAATAATATATGTAAGTGCGCAAACTACCAAAAAAAATAAAAAATTCAGAAAAACTCGAAGGAGCCCGAAAGGCCCCGAAAATTACGGGAAACCTCTTTAAAATAAAAGACAAAGAATTACAAAAATTACAAAAGTTTTCCTAAATTCTGAAAAGAGTACCGGAAAGTTTTCCAAAAAATTCTAACAAACACCGAATTGTGCGTAAAAATAAAACACGAAGAAAAAAACTCACAAATTTCCTGCAGCACTCTGAAATAATTCGGATTGGCTAAAAAATTTATTTAGTTAATTTAATTTTTAAATTTAAGAAAAATTAATTTCGTTTTCGTCTCCGAAAAATTGGGAGGTCTAATGGCCGGTTTCACTAGCAATTTAAGTGAAAAAATAATTTTTCTCTTCTATCAGTTTGCATACTAAATAAAAACAAAAAATTAATTTGCATTAAAATTTCTCTCGACTAACGAATGTTTTAAATATCGCAAAAAAAAATCAAAAATTGAAACCAAGGCACTCACCGCTGATTAATGGCCTCTGTCATCTTTTTGAGACGCGTAGTATCATCCGATGGATAAACGGCAATCAACTTTTGCGTCAAAGCATTGAAAAGTTCAAATTGTTGTTTATTCTGATGCAGCTCGGCGTGGAAAGACTGTAAACAAAATGCACAAAAGCAAATTACACAAATTAATTAATTACAATTTTATAGTATTTGTTAGTAAAAGTTTGCAGCCAGCAATCTAGCCACACACACACACACAACTACATGCTCGTACATACCTTTTGCTCCTTTTGCTGCGCTTCCAAGACATCAGCCGTGGTGGCAACGTTGCCCATGCGCTCGGCACGTGCCTCCATGCGAGCCAGCCATTTTTCCAACTCCAAGCGCTTTGTTTCATAGCTGTGCGGGTGTGTGTGTCAATAAAAAAGAAAGGGATGACAGAATTTTATTAGTTTTTTAATGTAATTAACTTAGTTTTAATAAAACGTATAATCTCTTTAGGAAATTTGCAACACTACTCACCGCTGTGAATCGCCGAGCATATTCTTCAATTGGGCGGCGCGTTGCAGCACACACTGTGAGGTCTCATCCCAGTGCTCACGTAAGCGTGTAACTAGAGAAATAACGTAAAGAAAAAAGAGGGATTAGTTATGATTGAGAAATACATACATATGCTGGGTGAGAAAAGTTAGTTATTTAAAAAAATCACATAAGAAATTATAACAATTACAACAAAGGTGAGTAAAATGTCGAAAGTAAGTGACTGAGCTTTCGACTGCTGCAGCTGTAAGTACAAATGTAAGTGAAAGCTTAGTAAAGTTGAGTAGAGAGAGAGCTCTTGATGCTTTCGCATGAAGAGCAACAGAGAAAGCGCAATCGAGGCCTTGTTTTTATTTGAGTGCTGTAAGATTTCTCCTTGCTTATACGATGTCCATGTACATATGTTTGTATGACCGTGGTACCATAGGACTACTTTTTTTAAATTAAACCTGCATTAAAGGAGCCAAAAGTCTAATTTTTGGTGGAAGGTGATTTCGTAAGGGTAGGAGTGTGATGTATTTTCGAATGAATATTCGTCGTCACGATTTCGTTTCAAAATACATTGAACCAGGAGTCCTTTATAATTTCCACATTTTAACCAGAAAAATAAACGATCATGCAAAATTCATTAACATTAAGTTAGTGGTAAACAATTTGATAGTTGTGACTAACAGGGCAATTCTGGCTTTGATAGTAAACAGTTTTTCTGAGATAAATGAAAGACAGATGGCAAGATATTACGAAAGGCTTTTCTTGCTCTAGTATAAAAGTCTTGGAAAAAAAGCTTTCTCAAACATCACTCGTGGTGGAAAGCTCTTTTGAGGGAAGCACTTGTATATAATTTAGCTCACGTCGCTGCAACAGTATTAAATGGCCGAGTGAGGAAAGCACTGTTGTATTTTTTTTTAATTTAATTTTCTTGCAATTTTTAGATTTCATTGTCTTGAAAAGAAGATTATATATTTTTTTATTTCTTTTAATTTTTAGAAATTAATTTTTTTCGTTTTGTTTTTTTTAAGAAAGAAAACTAAATGGTTTTTGAATTGCATTATATTTTTATTTTTTATTTTTTTTTATTTCTAATTAAATATATTTTTTAACTAAAATTAGCAAAATTTTTTTGTCTTTTCAAACTTAATTTTCTTTTTAGTTTTAGAGTTTGTATTAAAAGCCAAAATATATACGGTTTTTTATTTCATTTAATTTTTAAATACGTACTATTATTTTCCAATTTTTATTTGATTTTTTTCTTTTACTAATTTAATTTTCTTAGATTTCATAGTTTCAAAAAGAAAAATTTATATTTATTAATTGCATTTAACTTTGAAAAAAAAAATTTTTTTACATTAATTTTATTTTATTTTCCCTTTTTTAATTTTTGTTTTCATTCATTTATTAGTTTTTACCATTTAATTCATTTTTTTTTTAGTTTTTTGCTCAAGCTTTTAAGGCATTTGCCACAAGAATTACGAAAGAATTTCGTCTTGTCAAAGACTGTGGTGAGTTGAAAGACAGTTGCCAGGATTGCCCTGTAAATTCTTCATAGTGTCAAGGATTATGGAAATGTTGGTGCTTTCCAAGTAAATACGTATGAAAGCTTCAAAACAGCTTCTTAATTTCAGCAAGTTCTAATCAAATTGTATGTGCAAGGGCCACCAGGTGGGCAGTGATGTCCTTCGCTATCGATTTTATTCTTAGTAAGTTAAATTGTTTTTATTTTTGCGTATTAATGTGTAGTTGCATTAGCTGGGATTAGCTGCCATAAACGTTAATTTACAACATTTAGTTTGATTTTGCATTTTTTTTTTAGTGCATTTTTGGTTAAAATATCGCATATCCTCTTTCCGTCAATTAGTTTTACCTTTCAAACAACAACGCATGTAATCCAAATCAGCAGCGCAATGGGGCGCAAGGGAAAATTGTTTCAATGCTAGGCGATGAATAGAGAGATAAATGATAAACAGTAGTAGATACTTATAAGTAGTTTAGGCTATGGGAGAATTTATTAGAGGCACGAATTCAAAACATCTCATTTTTTTTTAGTTATTCAGATACAATCAATTGTTGTAGAGGGATTAAAAAAAATATATATATTTTTTTTCTTCTCGAGCAAGCTTTAAAGCATATCTTTTTTTTTTAAATAAATTGCGTGGACTATCGCAAACACGTCAATTTCAATGAGTATGTTTATTTATTTTATTACATGCATTGCGTTTAGATAAAATTGATATGCAGGGACTTTTTTGTCTGCTGGAATAAAGTCTGTTACAGATAAAAATTTTTCACAAAGGAGTTCGCTATATAAAATTCCAAATGTATAAAAAAACAAAGAATCACAGTTTCTTCCACAAGTACCGGGTACAGCGGAACTTTAGACTAGATTTTGAGCTAGAGAAATTTGTTAAAAAAATATGGTTCATTAGGCTCTAAAAACAATCTGTGTGAAAGATGAAAATTTTTGGTCAATACCTTAGGCTCGCCCAAGTTCATCAAAGCTCAAGTGGAAAAAAATGTTCTTAGCTTATTTCGATTCTCCACAAATAAGGTCCATACAACAAATCATGTAGGACTAATAGTTTCGAAAATATTTGCAATTGTAGTCAAAGAAAAAATGATTTAGTTAATGAATTTATTGATTTTCATTTTTTGACCACATTGAACTTTGATAGTCTTGGGCGAGCCTAAGATATTGACCAAAAATTTTCACCTTTCACACGGATTGTTTGTTAATGAATCATGTTTTTGCTATAACCAATCAAAATTCAAAAAAAAATGGTTTTTCGGCCCATGCTTATATTCAGCAAGTTGTATGCAAAACCATATAACTTTGAAGGACCCGGCTGAAACTTGCACTTAATTTGATTAAAACTTAATGGGCTACAAAACTGCATGAATACTTGAAAATTGAATTTTAAAATTTTTATGAACATTTTTTGAATTTCTGTGAACTTTATATATAGTGCGAGACTCTGATTCATCTGGTTTATATTATAGAATTAACTATACATAATTTCATATGTAAGTAACACAGTTCAACAAAATTTGATCGTATTTTATTTTTGAAGTGCATTTACAAAATGTTTCTAGCACGTCCAGTTTTTGAGAAAAAGCTGTTAAAGTTTCGAAAAATTCCTGAAAAATCCTTGCTGGTGAAATCGGTTGTAAGAAGAATAAAAGGATTCTAAGTAATTATTGCTCGAATACCGCCAAGTGATAGGAAAATGACTCATTCGAGTAATAATAAAACGGCTTGACCAGGTGTGTTGCCTTCGGGCGATCAATTTGTTGCGAGAGCGACTCGATTTCTTATATCTGACCGGAAATAATTGACCGGTGGGTTCATAAATAATAATAATAATATTAACAGATTGGCGCTTATATTAGTGTTTGGCCGAGTTTCTAACCGATTTGTGGCGTGCGCCTTGATATTGTCCCACAAGGGGGAGGTACTTACAGTGTTCAGCCATCTCCGAACGGCGATTGTATTTTTATGAGAAGCTGTTTTCCATGACAGAAGTACACTCGGAGTACATACATATATACATATGTGTTTGCAAAAACACTTAAAACACTTATATTCATACACACCCAGCATTTTGTAAAATTTTCGAACAAAAATTGGTATTATTTGACTCTCCCCAGATGATAACAGCGATCGAATATGCACTCATTTTCTAATCAAATATGACTATGTCGTCGGGTGAAAACTGTATCGTACATATGACTATTGTTGTTATATTTTTTGTCATCTTTGGTTATTCTTTTAACAATTTTCGTCAATTTTTTTAGTCATTTTTGTATCAAATTTGTGGTTATTTTTATATAAAATTTGTGGTCATTTTTATATCAAATTTCTAGTCATTCCTGATTATTATTTTTTTATAATTTGTATTTATTTGTTGTTACTTCGAATCATTTTACCATTTATTTTGAAAAGTCAATTTTGAAGAAGGACGCGAAAATTCAGACACCCCCTTTTTTTTCTGGGAAGTCGTCTACATTGACACGCGGCTTCAACTTTAGCCGGACACACCAAGAGGGAATACATGCTATTTAAATAGGCCCTCTGACTTACGACTTCTGTCTAAATTATCGCGATGAGAAAGAAATCGAAAGCTTCAAATAATATAAATAAAAGCCTCCGTGCGTGCCTTGCCCCAGTGCGGACTAGAATACATTGGGTCCCATGCATAAAAATTGAGCTTAAAGTCAGAATCAGTTTTTACATTGATGAAGTGAGCTCAAGCTAAATAAATTGTACTGAAAATCGATTCGGAGCTTAAGCTCACTTTATATGCATAAGGCACATTAATTTACCTTTACGAGTATATCTTTGATTATCTGGCCTTTTCACATCGATCTTCTAAATCGCCATTCTAAATTGGATTTAGGCAGCTAAAACTTTAACCCAATCAATGCAACCCTTGTTTTCTAAAAAAGACGTCCTGAAGCCATCTAACAGTTCACACAAAACCCGCTTCCATTGAGTGAACCGCAGGCCCATAGTTCGGCATTTTATTAGCCAATTTGTCTACCTGAACACTACTTAGCCTATTGGCTTTCACATTAATTCAATTAAGACGGAAATTATCCTACAAAATTTTAACCTAACGGGCAGTCTGGCTGACATTATTGAGACTCTGCTTCGTATCTGTTCGCTTGACAACACGAATTACGAGTTAATACCCAGTGCGAAAGAGAATCGGAAGCTTTCATCCAGATATCATGAATCGACAGTTTATTTTCCGGTCTTGGAGAAGCGTGTGTAGAGTTTTTCAGTCCTCTGGGAGAAATACACCACCTGAGACCAGTAGGAATAGAGTTTTCTATGTAATTAAGCTGAAGTCACTTACTCATGAGTACCGCTCGTGGTACCCTCACGAAAAACGAATAGGCATATAAGTATCTTTTTTATAATTTTGAAATAAAAATTAGGCAATTGATATCAAATCAAAATTCGGCTTAAACAAGAATAGTTAAAAATCGATTGGTTTCATTGCAATCATCTACCCGCAATTCCGCCGCTGGCATTCTGCACCAACTGCGTCTCATCGTGCGATGAACGTCGACGCATGCGTATCTCTTCGCGCGTCAAACTACCAGCAGCCTGAGCGGCGGCGCTGCTGCAGCGGCAGCAGCGCAGCGCGTGACTGCGCCTGATGTTGCAGCAATGCAGCGGCCGCAGCTGAGCCGGGCGTCAAACCCGTATTATGCATGACATTGGCTGGCACATTCCCCAACAGCTGTTGACGTATTTGCTCCGAAATTCACTGCTCAACGGCATCGGTGGTCCACCACTACTACCACCACCGCCGCTACTGGCTGGGCCAACACCACCACTACCTGCGCCGATATTTCCCGAACCACTCTAGCGCCAGCACCTGCGCCACCGCCACCTACTCCAATCATATTTGATTTACTAAAATCTTGCGATGCTTGCACGCGGTGACGGCTGTACTGCAGCTCAAGTGGCAGATTACGATCCAGCGAACGCATGTGGTGCTCGATAGTGGAACGCATTGCATTGTGCTCGGCGGTTTGATTGAGCGCCGTGGCAGAGCCCTGCAGCTGCTGTGAGCGCAGCTGCTTCAACTCCTCGAATGATTGTCGTGCGGCAGCGGCCACAGCAGCCACAGCTGGGTTCTGTGGCATGGCGCTAACATCGCGTACGGTTGTTTCGTCCAAAGAGAGATTGCGTTCGTAGGGTGGACCGCGTAAATTCAAATTGGTTAGCGGGTGACGTACACCTGCGCCAGCACCCAAACCGGCCTTGAAGCTCAAGTCGAAATTGTTTTGCTGTGCGGCCACTGCGGCGGCGGCAGCTGCAGCTTCCATTGAACGTAAATTCATTTGCTCTTGCATGGCCCGCTCCATATTACGTAGGCCGCTCTCAATGCCGCGCAGTGCATCCTCCGAACCAAAGTCCTCTGTGGGTGATATGCGCGCGCTTGTTGGGCAAGCATTAGATGCGGAGGCGACGGCGGCGCGGCAGCAGCAGCAGCGGCGGCGGCTTTCTTTGCTTCGCTTGCGCGTGTAGGCGCTGGTGATGGCACCGCAGACTTGGGCAGCGCATCATTGCTAGCCGACAACAGCATGGGTGGATCAAAAGGATTTGAGCTACGCTTGAACACGTCACTTGGCTTCTCCGGTGGCAATGGTGGGCGATCTTTGAACTTGTTGACGGTGATTGGTGAATTTTGCGCGCTATTTTGTGCGGAGCTCTGCGCCGAAGCGGGCTTCTTGGGTAGCGGCGGTGGTTGGCGGCCCCCCGGCGGTGGCAACGGGAATCCATCCGGCAGGCTCTTGAGGCTGTGCCGCTTTGGGGTATCTCTGGCGGTGTGCACGATCGGCTGCGCGTGCCGGTATAGCAGGAACTGGTTTGTTGTGTTGCGGTGGCAGTGGCGGTGGCACGGCGCCAAAGGGTTTCGGTGGCAAATGCATGGCCGGTGCGCTCTTCTCCTCCTGTGAAGCTTGTTTGCGTAGTATTTGCTGGGCGCGTATAGCGGCCTGCGCGGCTAGTTCTGAAGTGAGCCGCGGAATTTCTGGTGCCATTTTGGGACCATCGGGGTCGGCGGCGTTGGCGGGTGGTGGCGGTGGTTTAGCAGACATTTTCGAAGGGCGTTGTGTAAGCTGAGGCTGCTTATTCGAATGTAGCGCTTCCAAGGGTTCACAGAAGAATCGTTGATTTTAGATTGATATGCGGATATTTTTCTTATGGGAAAAAAACTAAGACATTTGTGCGGATTCGTTGCAATTTTTATTTATGAATTAAATCCTTAAATCATTTTTTTGATTTCTTTTCAGCGGCTTTTTATATCACTACACTATTATGCGTATGCTTTTGTTCACTTTACGACATCACTGCCTACTTTCGGGCCTTCCAATACTAAGTTTACTTCAACACTTTTCTTTTGTTGGTTTTTTACAGTTAAGCCGGCATTTTTATTAGTTTTTATTTCTGCAGTTTTTTGTTTACTGCTGTGTTTGTTTTTGTTTTGGCCTTTGTAGTAGCAAAAGCGCCGCTAGTAAATGCAACTGTTTACAGCAAACATAAACGACAATAATGTGCAAATAAATAAACACTGCCGTAAAACCGGCAATAAAGGCAACAACAACAAACTATGTGCAACCTATAAAGTGTAATAGAAAAGTGTCGCGTGGCTATTGCGCTCGGAGCGCGGCAACACCTCAGACTCTCTTTTGAATTATGCTCTCTTATTTGCGCTCATTTTCTTTTTAGTCACTCTCACTTTCGCGCTCCTTCTTCTACTGTGGCTCTCTCTCGTTCTATCTAGCCCACTTTCTCTATTTTTCCGCTTTCATCCACTCTCACTTTGTTACTCTTCACCACATCCGCTGCGTGTTTTCACCACTCTTACTACCAACTCATCATAGCCGGCTTTCATTTACTTTTACTGTAGCATACTTTTCGGCTTTGTGGAGATTAAGGCCAACCACAGACTCTTTATTACTACAGTGGACCCCCTTAAATTGCAGCTGCCACACAAGACTTCATCTTTCATCAGTACGCAAAAGCCTTCCCTCATGTATTTTGTGGCTATGTACCTTGCTTTCTAACAAAATTTGTACTCATTTACCGGTGCCACGTACGCACACATACATTCGTACATACCAAGGTGTGTACTACCGCTTCCGGTACATCAAACTTCTCTCAATTGCACTCCCGTCCACCAGATACCGGCGCCTGGAGCATTGCCCCAAAGGCGTGGGTTGTACTTACTATGTGCAATTTGCTACAACGCATGTTGCGGCTATTTGTTGCAAATGTACCCTTGCCACAAGTATTATGCATACACCAAGCCACTCACACAAACATATAAATGCTAAGTCATGCACTCCATAGCTATTGCAATTGTGAAAGAGTTAGTGAGGGGGACGCACGTGCGGACATCGTGCATCCGCCCACCTGCTTCAACTAGCAACCACACCCACTTTGCACTTTGCATATACATATGCATATTCGACCGTACCACCTTACAAACAAACGAGAAAATTTTGCCACATAGCCCTGTGTTTCAAATATTTTTGCAGGGCAATTTCGCAAGAAAAAAAATTAATGTTTTCGGTGCTACCTACAGGCAATAAATAAAAAAAGTAAGGACGCCTGGACCACACTGGAGAAGTGAAATTTACGTTACATATCGTCACTTGAAATTGAAAAAGACGTAACAACATCGTAAATGAAATGGAAAAAGTCGTGACTAATATTTTAATTTTTTCCCATAAAATTATGTGGCGAGTTGTAATTCGATGAAATCCATCATATAAATCAAAAAGTGAATTTTGAACTTTTTATTAGTTATGACTTTTTGCATTTCAACGCTGATGTTTATTACGTCTTATTGCATTTCAGGTGACGATATGTACTATTATTATCTCATAACCAATATACATATATATGTTTATTTACATATGTGTATGCCTTTTCTTAAGGTTATATTTTTGTCTTTTTTTTGTCTATCTAGATCCCTACCTCTAACCCCTGTTCGTTCTTATTACATCTATGTTATTCTGTTTTCCTTTATCTTTATACTTTATCAATAACACAATCAATAGTAACATCCAACAAAATATCGATAACAAAACCAATAAAAATATTGATAACTAAATCGATGACAAATTCGATACAAATTTCGAAAGCAAAATCGATAATAATAATGATAGCAAAATCGACTAGAAAATCGATAAATAAATCTATGGAAATGGATATTAAAGTATAAAAAAATATCGATAAATAATCGATAATAAAATCGATAGCAAAAGTCGATTACAATATCGATAAAAATATCGATAACAAAATCGATAAAAATATCGATAACAAACTCGATAAAAACATCGATAGCAAAACCCATAAGTAATTGATAACAAAATCGATAAGAAAATGAATAAATAATCGATAAAAAGAAATTATAACAAGATCGATAACTATTTGATAACTAATTGATAACAAAATCGATGACGAAATCGAAAAAAAATCGATAAAATCGATGACAAATTCAATAAAAATTTCGATAGCAAAATCTGTATAATGTTGGTACCAAAATCTATTAGAAAATCGACACAAAAAAATATCGATAACAAAATCAATAAAAATAACGATATCAAAATCGATTATAAAAGCGCTAAAAATATCGATAACAAAATCTATAACAAAATCGATAACAATATTGATAAAAACTTCGATAACAAATACAAATATCGATTATTATCTCGATAATTCCCAAGAATCTCGAAAAGCTCTTAAATCCCGAAATAGTTCCCAGATTGAGTCTCTGTGCCTCTATCTATATCCTTTTCTTTATAATTACCTTTATTTTAATCTTTCTTCCTCTATCTTCATCTCAACTTTTATCGGTATCCTCATCCTCATCTTTATCTTTGCTTTTACTTTTATGTTTATCATTTTCTTCTTCTACATATTCCCCTTCACCTTTGCCTTTATATAAGTAAAGTTTTTAAATTTATCTTGGTCTTCATTTTTGACTTTATCTTATCTTTACTTATCCTTGTTTTTGTTTTTATTTTTTTCTTTGCCTTTACCCCTTTCTTTATCTATGTACGTACTCATCTTTACTTTCATTCTTGTATTGGTCTTTTTCTAAGTGTTATTCTTTAACCTTTTATTAGCAAGTTTTTATTACAAAAATAATATACATTCAAGAAGCACTTGTTTCCGACCCAACCATTTCCGTTGCACCATTTTAGTGTGCAAGTTCCGTTGAATTTGCCAATTTACTCCCAACCAACCAACCGCCGCTAAGAAGTTTCAACAAGTAATTTTTACATACATAAAAAAACATAAAATTAAAAATAACAAGTAAGAAAGTCTAAGTTCGGGCGGAGCCGAAC